CTGGACTTGTGTGAAAAATAACTTAATAGTTCATTGGAATCGAATCTTGAAGAGAACCGCTACCTGGAATTTGATTGATTTGCTTGGGGTTAAGTGGGGGTGAGTTGAATTAATCTGTGTATGTAATACCATTGTACAATAATCAATCTGTGGATATAATACCATTGTACAATAATGCCCGCAGCTCACACATCTCTTTGATCAATTTTATTCTCAACAGAAAATAAATACAAATGCATTGCCTGCTGTAATGCACAAAGTATGTGGCGCTTTTAAATAAATTACAATATATTGTGACTGAAGAACACCCATACTGTGCAACGGAAAGGTACAAGATCAGGATAAAGATGTGAAGCCGCATCTAATAATGCTTCACTGCATGGTAAGCTAACAGACTTGAAATTCTGGATCTGCAAATACAAAGAGCAACATTTATACAGTACAATGTACAAATACACCGAAATGAACTTGCGTTAAATTATTTAGCATTAATTATTAGATATTTTAAGTCTATTTTTCTTGATTGCCAATGTGCTTTGGATGTCAGTTTTCAGTATACATCCTTATTTGTTTTCGTTTGTGCAGTTTTATTTTAACCTTTTATGTGTTCTAAAATCACTGATCCCAGTTCGGCACCAACACACACACACACGCACGATTCTCCAAAATGATCATGCTCCCACCGTGTGTCCAATGTAACTTCAACTCTGGTAGACAGAGAGGCATCCTCTGATTGGCATGCAACATGTCCACTCAAAACCCCCCTTCCTCATGTTATATACGCTCGGAGCTCGGTACAATCAAATCAAGTGCAATCACAAATTCTCGAACCAGTGGTGTAGCGTGCTTGGCATTGGCCCTGGTGCAATGAATGAAATAGGGCCCCACTGTCCAATTTCTCCTGCTCTTTGAAGCCTGGCAACTGGGCCACCCCTACTAGCCCCCCCCCCCGCTCCAGCCCATAGCCACCTCGTGCAGTTTCACTGCCTGCACACTCGATAGCTACGCCGCTGGCTGGGAATGATAACATTTTGTGCAGTCGTCGTCATAGGCTGCAATGGAAATGTCAAACCCATCGGAACGTTTTCTGTTGTTGGTGGAGACAGAATGAAAGGGTTTCTTTTTGTAATTGTATATCCACCCCAGGGTTTGAACTTGAGAACCGCTGTGGTGTTCTGCTCGGTACCCTGGTGTGGTACATTAGCCCTTTGGGTCACAAGATAACGCTCCGGCAATTTCTCACGAGTGTGCGAACCACGCTCGACTCTCTTGACATTTCATGAATGAGCAAAAACACCACACAAATTGTTTTCTTATCATGAGGCAAGTAGGGTATTCACATTAAAATGTTTTATGCAAAGATACCAATTGAGCAGAGTACTTGTGTTGGCCCTACCCAAGTGTCCTCTGCGATGAAACAAATTTACAACTAATTTGATTTCAAAGAATAACTACATTAACCATGAATTTCTTAACCAAATATTACAAAGGAAAAACAAATAGCTTAATATAATTCTCAATGAACGTTTTCACTTACCCTTCTCCATTTGCTTTCATTCATACGTATCTTTTTGTCCACTAACCATGCCCTGTGCTTGCAATGAGAAAATTTAATACTCCGGGAAAGGAGATCACGTGCGTGCGTGAGTTAAGTGTGGTTCCAATTCAATCCGCGTAATTTAGAACCATCCGCCATGTGTGGAAGTCAAGCAGCGTAACGGATAATAAAAATCTGTTCAAGTGAACTGCCTTTGGCCTCCGCCTGAATGAGGACGCTCATGTAATTCATATTAAGCATTTTACATCGACGCTGCTGCCGTAAAATGCATCATCGGTATTCATTTCAACGTGCAATAGTGGATTTTAACGCCTATCCCAGTGCACTGCATTGATTCTTACAGAGTCATTTATTCAGGAAAAGGTGTATTTTTAGCACGTTAACTTAATGATCAGCATGACCTTATCAGATTGAACTGGGTGATGCTCGGCAAGGGGTTAAAATGGATGGCTTTGGACTGCACGTTTAAAATTGCTCTCTCTCTCTACTTGCACATCCAAAAAGCCTAGGAACTATATAATTAATGTGAAGAGTAATTGTTGCCAATTTTAAAGTTATTCGCAAATACAATACGGCAGTCTTGTCATTGACTCTAATTATCCTTTGGGCCTGGATAACGTTGCTCTGTTTTTGTTTCTGCAACATGCCATTTGAGAGATTAAAGGGGACTAGGCAACCCAATTCGGCCGCGTGGAAGACTGAGTGGGGCTTATTTTCTTACGTGGAAGAAAACGGATGCTCGAGCGCTGTACATTGGGTTATCTGAAGAGTATCCTGACAAGTTTTTTCGTGTGCATATTACAGTGAGGGAAAAAAGTATTTGATCTTCTGCTGATTTTGTACGTTTGCCCATTGACAAAGAAATGATCAGTCTATAATTTTAATGGTAGGTTTATTTGAACAGTGAGAGACAGAATAACAACAACAAAAATCCAGAAAAACTCATGTCAAAAATGTAATAAATTGACTTGTATTTTAATGAGGGAAATAAGTATTTGACCCCCTCTCAATCAGAAAGATTTCTGGCTCCCAGGTGTCTTTTATACAGGTAACCAGCTGAGATTAGGAGCACACTCTTAATGGGAGTGCTCCTAATCTCAGGTTGTTACCTGTATAAAAGACACCTGTCCACAGAAGCAATCAATCAGATTCCAAACTCTCCACCATGGCCAAGACCAAAGAGCTCTCCAAGAATGTCAGGGACAAGATTGTAGACCTACAGAAGGCTGGAATGGGCTACAAGACCATTGCCAAGCAGCTTGGTGAGAAGGTGACAACAGTTGGTGCGATTATTCGCAAATGGAAGAAACACAAAAGAACTGTCAATCTCCCTTGGCCTGGGGCATCATGCAAGATCTCACCTCGTGGAGTTGCAATGATCATGAGAACGGTGAGGAATCAGCCCAGAACTACACGGGAGGATCTTGTCAATGATCTCAAGGCAGCTGGGACCATAGTCACCAAGAAAACAATTGGTAACACACTACGCCGTGAAGGACTGAAATCCTGCAGCGCCCGCAAGGTCCCCCTGCTCAAGAAAGCACATACATTCCCGTCTGAAGTTTGCCAATGAACATCTGAATGATTCAGAGGACAACTGGGTGAAAGTGTTGTGGTCAGATGAGACCAAAATGGAGCTCTTTGGCATCAACTCAACTCGCCGTGTTTGGAGGAGGACGAATGCTGCCTATGACCCCAAGAACACCATCCCCACCGTCAAACATGGAGGCGGAAACATTATGCTTTGGGGGTGTTTTTCTGCTAAGGGGAAAGGACAACTTCACCGCATCAAAGGGACGATGGACGGGGCCATGTACCGTCAAATCTTGGGAGAGAACCTCCTTCCCGCAGCCAGGGCATTGAAAATGGGTCGTGGATGGGCATTCCAGCATGACAATGACCCAAAACACACGGCCAAGGCAACAAAGGAGTGGCTCAAGAAGAAGCACATTAAGGTCCTGGAGTGGCCTAGCGAGTCTCCAGACCTTAATCCCATAGAAAATCTGTGGAAGGAGCTGAAGGTTCGAGTTGCCAAACGTCAGCCTCGAAACTTAATGACTTGGAGAAGATCTGCAAAGAGGAGTGGGACAAAATCCCTCCTGAGATGTGTGCAAACCTGGTGGCCAACTACAAGAAACGTCCAGACCTCTGTGATTGCCAACATGGGTTTTGCCACCAAGTACTAATTCATGTTTTGCAGAGGGGTCAAATACTTATTTCCCTCATTAAAATGCAAATCAATTTATAACATTTTTGACATGCGTTTTTCTGGATGTTTTTGTTGTTATTCTGTCTCTCACTGTTCAAATAAACCTACCATTTAAATTATAGACCGATAATTTCTTTGTCAGTGGGCAAACGTACAAAATCAGCAGGGGATCAAATACTTTTTTCCCTCACTGTATATAATAAAATATATATTTTAAACCAAAAAAATGGTTGCATTTAATACAACGATGTTCTCACAATGAATACATTATCAGTAAATGCATGTGATAAGAGATTAGGCATCTGTCTCTTGGTCTGACAGTCTTAATTATGGCAGCTTAAACCATCTGTCTCTGTTCCTTTGCTGACACAACTCAGGCCGCAAGAGAAAACACAACCATTGGAGCTCACGCACGTTCGTGCCCACAAACCCCGTGCATCGCTACACACAGGCCAATTTTGGAAAACAAGTGGAAGCTCTCATAAATGCTCGTTGTTGGATCTCTCCGATGTGTTCCCTGGTTGTATATTGGGCTGTGGTTTGCCAAGACGTCCCGACGCTCCACGTTCTGGGAGCATTTTTATATTCGATTCCTAAAAAGAAGCTCCGAGCACGTAAAGCGAAAGGTGGGACATCGCGACGAGCGACACGCGGTTCAACCCGAAAACCCATCGCAGAGCTATAAACAGCACAATCGCGAACAACCCCACGCAGTAGCTTATTAAACCTGCCCAGGTCACAGCATGTAACCCTGCAAGGTCTCAACTTGGGTTGGGCAATTTCCTCTTCAGCAACCCTAATTCAACCCTTACTCAATGCAGCATTGTAGCACCGTATGGAACATTGTACATCCACGTCCGTGCATTTGGCAGCCCCAGGAATTTGCAAAGGAATAACCTCATTGCCTGCATTAGGAGTATGCACCCTTAATGGGGGTGTGTGCGTGTGTGTGCATGCGTGTGTGTGTGTGTCATCTCAATTATTTCAAACATAGCGCCCTCGTGATAGGTAGCCGTGCACTATAAGTAGTGGCGCGAAGACCAAATGTACGAAATTATCACGATGTATCTCTTTATCTCTCAAATAATCTGGCACGAAAGTAATTGTCATGTTTCTTTTGAAGATTTATTCCCTGCCCACTCATTTTGTGAATTAGTTTGAACAGGTTGTATCTATAATACGCTGCATTTAATTCCCTGAAGTTTCATCTTAAGTTATATATGTTTTTAGTTTAACAGCAGCAAACTCTATATATATCTGTACACAGTTTTAAATCACTTTTCAATATAGATTTTTGTTGTTAAATCAAGTTAAGCGCGGTACATGGGTTTTAATGTGGGGAACACAGTTACAAGCTATACTACACAGTGTACAGAGTCTGCATCAGCAAGACATTGTGGCGAGACACTATCTACAGCATAAGTTTGTTTTAAATGTGCACAATTCATGTCTCTTGTGCGGTGCGGTGCGTGTCCTGTCATTTTTATTTTTTGCGAGACGACATTCATTGATTTCGATCATTGCACAACGTGTAACAGAAGCGGCACTTCAAAATTCGGACACGTGGGCTCAGTTTCGAAGAAAAGAAGTGAAGAAGCGCTGTTGTGAGGACGCCAACGCGATTGACCCCCGGCCGCTGATCGTTTTCCACGGCGCGTTACAGCGGCGCGTCGCGAAGGTGTCCGATCATACCCAGGAAGGGGGTTGAGGGGGATACCGCTTTTTGGTCACGAGCGATCAAAGAGTTTGCCCACGTGCATTTTCACACTCTTTTTTTTTGTCGTTGCAAGATATTGCAAAAAAAAGTGTGCGCGCCGATGGCCTCTCTATGGGGTTTTTTTCTCTCTCTCGGAAAAGTTTCTGCTTGCTGAATAAACCCGCAAGCTCCTTTTCAAACCAAGGCACTCGCCCGAGCTCCCATTCCTTCTCCGTTCGGCAGTAATCCGACCGCTAGCCCTGCACATGCCCACCCAGAACGTCGGAGACGTGATCGCGCGGTAATATCGGCGAAATGAAATATGATTGTGCACTGATGCATAACTCCACGTGGGATGTGCGTTGGTTTTGAAAGATGGTTGGAGAAAGAAAACGAAAGGCCAGGAGCCCCGTGAAAGAAGGCTGCCGTGTAAAATGAACTTCATCTCCTAGCATGACAGTGTCAGTCGATAATTATCAGTCCCGTCGGTATCCTTTATTTAACCAGGAGGATGCAAATTACCCGTTGACATGCATGCAACAGCATTGCCTCTTTTACAAGGGTGTCCTGGTTTCACTGGTATCAATTTTACTTCACTGGTACCACCAATCATCAGTGTTTGTTCTATGACTGTGCATTTGTTGAATATGTACAGTATATACAATGCACCTCTTGGAACTTCACGTGTGGTTCACCATTTAATGTATTAATTTCACTTCCCGTTGCTTTAAATAAAATAAAACATCGCTTAAAGCCATTTAGGCTTTTAACGAGGGTTAAATCACCGTATCGTGCCAAGTTTAGTAAATGGCGTTTAAAAAGCTCAATCCAGGATAATAAAGTTCATAGTGATGATGAAACATTTTTGCAATTGTTAGATTACATTGCAATTACAATGTATTATAAACGACAAGGATATATGTAGTAAAACAGGCCTAAAAAAGTCTCCATATAAAAATCCCTCCCATTGCTTTATTTATGTATTTGATCAGTTTTTTTTTATATTGACGTAATAATCACCATCACAAACGTGTGAGGGGCAGCACGAGTTAATATGTTCACATTCCACAGAGTCACGTTTAACAAGCACACGTCTGTGCAAAAAGATGAATTTGCTCAAAAAGAAATGTTAATCAAAGATTTGTTTTTCATCACGTAGACAAAAGATAATTTTTTTGCACATCATAATTTTAGATATCTTTTATACATATATTCTGTCTCTTCTTTTACGAAATCATGAACTCAAGTAGCCACGGCTGGCTTCGTCATTATAACAATCTTAAAATCGCGTGTAGAAAAATGAAAATAAATAAGCAGCAGATACTGTGTTGGTATTCAACTTCAGTTTTCATAAACACCCAAAAATGTTCTTTTTAGACCACAAACACCCTTTCTTTTTTCCCTGTAATACAACATGCCACAATACAGCAGTTTGTCCTTTTTTTCATTATATATAAATGTAAAAGCACCCGTTAAGTGATTTCTTCAGCGGGGGTTGCAGCGTCTCACTCTTTGATGACCTCCGTCATGCACTTGTCCGTGACATTGCTGCCATTGTACTTGACCTTGCGGTTGCGCTGTGGCTCAATCCACGAGTTGTGGATGACGGCGCCGCTGTGCGGCGGAAGCTGGTCCACCTCCACCACGGACACCACGCGCTTCTTCATCTTGTTCTTTAGCACCTTCTGGAACTTCTGTCTGGTGAACGCGTAGAGCAGCGGGTGGAAGATGGTCGTGCCGTAGGCCATGGCCAGGAAGCAGAGTCTGATCTTCACGAGCACGTCACTCGGGCCCATGCACAGGATGACCGTGTTGAGCACCGAGATGGGCGTCCAGCAGACGAGGAACGTGGAGATGATGATGAGCGACATTCTGAAGACGCGCTTCTGCCTCTCTCGCCTCTCCCTGTGCCTCTTGACGGCGCGCTTGAGCGCCAGGATGACGGACACGGACGTGCGCACCCCCATCGGCGCGTTGTTCTGGGCGCCGCTGCTGTGCGACAGCGTGCTCTCGCGGTGGCCGCTCGACGTGGTGGACGCTGTGTGCGCCGTGCGCTTGCGCTTCTTGTTGGCCGCTTTGCCGGGCTTCTTCTTTTTCCTCTTGGGCGCCGTCACGGAGAACCGCGAGCCGATCTTGATGTTGAGCGCCTGCAGGATTTTGGAGTAGGTCACGAGCATGACGACGGTGGTGATGGCAAAGAAGGGCACCTGGACCAGCAGGTGGTAGTACATGCCCATCTCCTTGTGGTACTCGTTGCGGTTGACACACAGCAGCGTCTTGTTCTGCCAGGGTTTGGAGTTGGGCTCTTCTGAGGCCGCCTCCATGAAGAAGCTCACCTGCAGAGAGAAGAGCCTTAAGTAATCCTACGCTGTTGTCAAGGGAGGAGCGATCTTTCAGTAGTTCACGCAGTGCTACAAACACGGCCGAACCGAGTTTGATCCCTGGCCATGGCACGAAGTGGATTCCTGAATCAGTCCTGGCCTCCTCCCGGCCTCCCCTGCCCCCAAACCCCTTCACCATCTCGCACTGAACAGCGTGGTGAAGTATGGTCAAACAACCGCCATGACTGATGTGTCATGGAGAGAGGCCTTCATTCAGCTGTAGATTGACAAATGAAATAAATGAAAATTCTGAAGACTGCATAACTTGAAAACAAAAGGCCACAATTGAAGGGATGAAGCGAAATGTATTTGGAAGAAAATATATACTCGCAAAAGTGAGAGGCAGTCACATTTGAAGGGAATGACAGGAGATACAATTCATATTACACGCACATTCTTCGTCTCAAACTCACAATTTTGCCTTTAAATTCACATAATTCTGATGCCCGGCACACTGCAGCAATTTATCAAGAATAATTACATCATGCTCCGCCCGGGAACAGCACCTTGCATTCAATAAAAAATGGGTCTAAGTGACTGCAACTCAAGATGAGTGCCTGCTTTTTCTTTCTCTGTTTTTGGTACAGAAGTAAAATTAGAGAGCCAAGTCCCACATCAGCTGTGGGGCTCCGTGGTTCTCTTGTACTAAAAGCCCATGCTGTTCTTGAGTTTTAACAGCTTCACTAAGTATTCTTGGTTCTTTCGGTAAAGTCACGTAGAAGGGAAACAATAAAATAATAACAAATGACCGCATCCTTTATTTTCGTCTCCCCCCTCCTCTTTTCCGAACATAGATGGACTCGTCCATCTGAACAAACTGTCAAATCGCTCTCCGTGGTGCTAACGTTAAAAATAACCGCCACTTTTTTCAAATTTTCTTGCTGTGGTTTTCACACCTGATGATGATTGCTTGTGTTGCAGTCGAAACGTCGTGAGAATTGTATTGTTTTATATTTGTATTATTTTATTGTTTCCCTTCTACGTGGTGACTTTACTGAAAGAACCAAGAATGTGAATCCCTGCAGTCACGAAAGCTTTAAATCAAAGCTTCACCAAGCTTTGATTTTCTGTAATTGTTTGCATTCTGTATACTTTGCAGAGACCTTCTAAGTCTCAAACATTAGTAAGGTTCACCTGATCCCAATACACGTTAAAGGAATTTCAATGGTTTATATTCCCAATGGTCATGAAAGCGCAATCCCCGATGTTTACGTGAATAGCTGATCTAACTGAAATGTGTCAGATGAAGTTTGCTCTCACCGTTACGACAGCTGGATAGTTTATGACAGCTATAGCACAGGGGATCAGTTTTATGTTTGAGAAGCCAAGAATTTAATCTCAACAAGTACATTGGAACGGAAAAAAGCGTAGTGGATTTTGGCAAAGATATAAATTACTGTTTTGTTTTCTTGGACACTGCCACGTATAACTCCACCGTCTGTCGCATTTGGTACTTTTTACATGAACGGCATAATAAGTCAAAAAATTCCCACGGTCGCTTTGGCCGGCGTCGTTGTGCGCGCACCGTTGTGCCACCGCGCCGCGCTATGAATCACACGCACACACGGCGTCTATTTCCTCGTTGTGTACGGGCAACACATTTCTAATCTATTTTGGAAATGTGGCCTTTTCCCCAATTTTCACTCAGGTTATTCTTTTGGTGACATGTCATGGGGGACAAAGGATCCATTTGGAATTCTGGCCGAGCAATGCAATCGCACTGTTGGACATTGGCCCACAGATGGAGATATAACAAAACTACTTCTGGGCTCCCTTTAGAGCAACCTCTTATCGACACTCGGGGAAGCACTTTCCCACATGCTGTGCTACACAGAAATGTCCACTGCAAGGCAGTCAAAACAATATTTTTTTATTCTCAAAACTGGGCTTTGGTGTCCAGGCTGAGACCATTACCTCACTAGACTTGAGAACCCAGTTCAAATCGCAGTACACTGCCCAGATTCGAGGCCAGGGTGTCGACAGTGCAGGCTGACTCAGTGCTCTAACCTCTAAACTACCGGGTCACCTCGCACTGACCCATGCTTTAATCAGCCAGCATTAAGTGTCCCATAAAAGAGACGCTGCTATTGTCTCTGCTGCTCGTGATAATCTTATCTCGGACACCGAGTCGATGTCTGTCAAAGGTGAACATAACTTCCTTTCGAGCTATGTCAAACAAGACACTCGAATTCATTGCATGTTGCTGATGAAGTTGCTTAGTTTAAGCTTGGAAAGTATGCTAAGCATTAATCTTCCAATTTGCACGTGCTGCATTCGTGCGCTGTAGTCCACCACCTCCAACAACAACATTCCATTCACCCCCCCCCCCCTCCCCCACGCTCCACTGTCCCTCACCTCCAGGAAGGGGATGAGGAACGCCAGGAAGGACAGCGCCCATACGATGGCGAGGATGGCGCCGGCGCGAGCCGGCGTGAGCACGCGGTTGGCGGGCCGCACGGAGATGTCGTAGCGGTCGATGCTGATGACGAGGACGCTGGCGGCGGTGGCCACGCCGGCGAAGGACGTGGCGGCCTCGTGGGAGCAGCACAGCAGCGGCGTGCTGCGCTCCAGCGGCGACAGCAGCAGGGCCACGGTGAGCGGCACGCAGCCGAGGCATATGAGCACGTCGAAGACGTGCAGGCTGACCGTCACCGCGTTGCTCACCGAGCCCACGAGGCCCGACTTAGCGCAGTAGAGGGCCAGGACGATGAGGTTGCTGCCGAGGCCCAGCACGATCTCCAGCGTGAGGAGGCTGGTGAGGGCCACCTGCAGGGCAAGTGGGTAGGAGGGGCCCTCGGAGGCCGAGGAGTTGTCCCGCGGTGGAGCGCCGTCCGGGGCCAGCTCCCCCGGGATCGACGACGATGAGAGCGTGTCGGTGACCATTTCGGAAAGATTCCTGGTGCGCATCACGGAGGGTGGCCGGATTTCCCGGTGCCGCAGCTGGATTTTCTGGCCCTCACTATGAGTTCGAAATTGAGAGAGAGAGAGAGAGATAGATACGAACGTATCATGGCAGTGGTGAGCAAAATTATAATACTCTTGTGAGGTGTTTTGTTTCCAATAAACATTGGCCGAATGACATTATGGGCCTTAAAACACATTTTATGAAACAAATTAGTTGTTTGTAAAAATTGTAGCTTCACCTTCAAGCGTTATTTGCAACGATGAAATGCATCTAAACAATATAGAAGTTAGGACCTCCTTTGCCGGTACCAAAATATAAGAATAGGTTTTTCACCTTTTTTCTGGCAACAAAACTGAAACCTTTTTACTAGGAATCATGTCTGTCAAAATGCAAACAAAAAACATACTCTGATAATATATGCATTGTCCTTGAAACTGATTGGTCCACACCAGAGACAGCTTTCTTTTGAGCCTGGTTAATGCAGATATGGTGCTGGCAAAGGAGGTCCCATGATGTAGATGCTCAACCCCAGCTCTCATTACTCTGATAGTGGCATTGTCTTTGAGTTGTACGCCTTTTGGCGCCCTCTGGTCTAGCACCAATTGAGACGAGGCTCAAAAGAAAGCTGTCTCTGGTGTGGACCAATCTGTTTCAAGGACAATGCATATATTATCAGTGTTTTTTGTTTGCATTTTGACCACAAGTATTGTGGTTAATGCAGACATGATTCCTAGTAAAAAAAGGTTTCAGTTTTGTTGCCAGAAAAAATGGGAAAAACCGATTCTAATATAGAAGTATTCGCAATAACATTAATATCTTTGGTTTAAGACATAAATGACCACCGTGACATGTTTACATACTTTCAGAGCCAATTTTCCGACAGCAAAAGAATATATATTGATATCTCATTATCCACAAATTCAGAAAAGGGCTTCTCAGAAATGACTGTAATTTATAAAAATACGATTGGTGTTTTTGTTCCTCCAATGTTGATATCTTTCATAATTAGGCAAAAGCCCTCGCATCATTTTTTGACATGGTATATTGCGTTTTAAACGCTGAAAGACGACCGTACTCACTGTCAAAAAGGTCCCAAGGGTGGCGTTATTCCGACTCGGTTCCCTCATCCAGCGGCCGCTGCATTCCTCTCCGTGATTCATATTCAGGGGAACGTGCGCGCAAACACACGCGGCGGTGGTGCCAGGGACGGTGGCCTCTTGCCCCAGCAGCCCCGAGCTCCCACAGCGTCCACCCGATTGAACTTTGTGAGTCACTGGCGGCGGCGGTAGTGGCGGAGGAAAGCGGCTGCCTGCAGCTTCCTGCGAGATTTTTCCTGCTGTGTGCCTCGCTCGTGAGCCCTCCGCATCATTCCGAGCGGTGCCACCTGTCGGACGAAGAGCAATCTCCGTAAATCACGGTTTTCAGTGCCTCTCCTGCGCTCATTTAAACGTTTTGTTTTTGCCATGTGCTCCAATGATAAGAAACAAAATGCACGCTAAATTTGATAAACCGTATAGAACCGCGCGCTTGGCAGGAGGCTTCATTTAACTGGATTAAACAGGTCATCCCAGGACATACGACAATGAATCACACATACTAAGCCAATTTCCCTGTTTAAATATACATTGCTTTAATATTTTTTGACATACTAGAGGGATTATGTTAATGCGAAGAGGTCTACGGGAAAAGGGTGCGCCCAGAGGCTTTCTGCAGTGTAGCGGCAGAATTTCCGGACGGGTCCGAGCAGACTTGAAGAACCGAACTGGTGAAGAACCGAACTGATTCTCCTCCCCGTGAATGTTGTTTTTTTCTCTTTCCCCCACGGCAGAACAAAGCAGAGGAAATGTCATTACAAGGAAGGTAATGCTCACTCCAAGGGAATATGTTGGCCTGTGTGGCCAATATTGAGCACTGAATCTGTATGCAGCACCCAGTGGGAAGATTGATGTTGTGTCTTTCGACATTCTCTCCCTATACATTATTTACCGGCCGGTTTCAGAAGTGGCGAGCCCCACATTTTCCTACAATGTGATTTTTTTAATTATTCAATACCCAAGCTACGACACAGCCATGAGACCATTTGTATTATTCATCTTGGTCCGTGTCTCATGTCTGCCTCCAATCCTACTGACCTCCAATAAACATAAAAAAAAATTGTTACAATTCACTCAACCTTTCCGAAAAGCACCCCCCCCCCCATCCTGACAGTAGCACCCCCCCCTTCCCCAATCAAAAAAACAAAACCGCATACATACACACCTTTTACAAATCATGTTCGTGAATCATGGAGTTCCACACCGGATTTAAATGATTTATCTGGTTCCCAATTGACTGCTGGGTCAGGAGGTAAACTTGAAGGACCGGGAAAAGGTTCCTGGTGTGTGTGGTTTCAGCAGGAAATTGAATCTAAGAATATATCATTAAGATACGCATGATGTATGGACAAGATTTATTGTCCGTCACGTTTACTGCCATGCAGCAGCAGAAGTCTGCTTTCCATCCCAGCGTCATCTTCGATAAATTTATGGACTGAAGTCGAAAATGGCTGCGATGTGTGACGCGTTCTTGCACTTATTGCAAAAACCGTAAATCATTCGCGGCGAGACACTTTTCCACGCCGCGTTTTCTGATGAAACGTTCTAAAAAATTTTTGTTATTATTTCATTTTTTTTGACTGAAGATCGCTCGGGTCACACCGCCGGAGCGAAAGCATTGTTTGTATCGATCAGCTGTGACCTATCTCGAAGCCTTCAAGACTCCTCCCGGTGTATTTCGTGCGCTCCTCCCTCCTGCCAACCTCCTTTTATTTCCTACGTCTTCCCTCCTGCACGATTTGAGCTTTTGTTGTCACTCATCCGGAGCGCACAATGAATAAATTAATACGATTGGGGGGGGGGGGGGGAAGGCACCCAGAAAGCTTTTTTCTAGATTGATTTTTTTCCCTCCCTACCTTCCTGCACTCTTGCGTCGCTCAATCTGTCAGCTCCTGGACATTTTTTTTCTTCCCTGCTACCATGCAGGGCTCAGCCAAAATGGTTGTAAATCCACTCGAGCAAATGTTTGCTTAGCTCTTTAGGCACTGCGCTTGCTCAGTACTGCCCTCCTACCACAGAAGGAAGAGGCGTGAAGGCTTATTACCAAGCAGTCCTTTACTGCCGATAGTAAATTACGCTGCTGACGCTGCTGCTGCTGCTACGTGCGGCACCGGATGGTACGTACGGATGTTGGCGCCGTACGTAGCCAACCGTGCTAATCGGAGGTGCGGGCGAAGAACAACAAACTAAAACACAGAGCGCAGTTCTAAGGACGAATTAGAAAGCAGTTCTAGTACAAAAAGAGGCGCCGGTGCAGCCCTGCAAATCTTAGTTCATGCTACTCCTGGTGGAAAGGCCTCCCGTAAGAGAAGCTATGGAGAGTGGCTTGGCGTCCTCTGGTCTAACGCCGTTTGAGACGAGGCTCAAAAGAAAGCTGTCTCTGGTGTGGACCAATCCGTTTCAAAGACAATGCATATATTTTTGATTGAAAGCTTTCGTGACTGCAGTAATTCATATTCTTAGCTCTTTCGGTAAAGTCACGTTGAAGGGAAACAAAATAATAAAATATATTGTTCCCCTTCAACGTGACTTTACCGAAAGAGCTAAGAATAATGCATATATTATCAGAGTATGTTTTTTGTTTGCATTCTGACCACAAGTATTGTGGTTAATGCAGACATGATTCCTTGTAAAAGGTTTCAGGTTGGTGTTTTAACATCTTAACACCTGTTTTGATGCCAGCAAAAAGTGGAAAACCTATTCTCATATCTATGGAGAGGGTAACTTTGGCGTACTCTTTCATGCTGGAAGAGCATCCACATTTTACCCGTCGGCACACGCTACCTGCAGACTAACTGACTGTGGTGTACTCATTCACCGCAGTCAGCAGACACAGACGGGGTTGGTGGGTTGGGGGGGGGATTTAAGAAACCTGCCCATCACTTCAACTGCCGCGTTTCGAGATCGAACCGGCGACCTCTGGATTGCACATCCAGTGTGCTACCCCCACTACACATCGTGGCAGCATTCAATGCGGTGGGGGTCGTGCCCAGACATCAATGTGGATACAAACGTGCACCCCCCACCCACCCCCCGGCTTCCCCAAGTCCTACTCCAGCTTGCGGACACCTACGGAAAGCTAAAGTAATGACGAATCTTGTTCCTTACGTTGGGAATATATCTCATACAGTCACCCGAAGCCTCGTTTGATAAGATACCATGGCCGATAGCAAAACCATATACACACATTGTTGGTTTTATCAACGTGGGACGTGCTGCACGAAGGGCAAGGAGCGGCTCGTGTCAGTTTTGACGGGATGAGCTGCACGATTCTATTACAAAGCTATCTCTCATCGGCACCGTATCCGCCAGTCTTTATGTGTAGCCACGTGTCGCTATTTTTAAGCGTGCATCTTCCCCTGCCCAGTCGTTTCCGTCATTCCCACAAAACCCTGGTAACGTCTTTGACAGTTTATTGTTGTTGTTGTTATTGTACGTGCAGCTATTGGGACGAGAGGTGAGTGAGGTGTCCCCAAAGCAATGCCCCCCTCACCACCACCCCCTCCCCCCCCCCCAAACTCTCCACTGCAGCGATTCCATAGCTGCAGAATCCACAGCCGTGTTGACTCCGGGTGCTGATTCGCACCCACGGGATCATTTCACATAAGTGGCGCCGCTATTGACCGTTTTGAATTGGCGCGCCGTCTTGTGAACACGACCAGCCCACTGTCGCCGGTCTAGTTTCAATCTTCTCTCTTCTTGAAACGGGACACAGTGTCCCGGACCCCTTTAAGACGACTCTAAGCGCACCGCTGTCGCGTTCACCATTGTGGCAGCACTGTCTCGCACTGCGACTCGTGCTGTTAGTCGGTCATATAATTAAAATAATCCACCCGGGGATTGCCAGAACTCCTGCAATAATGAAAGGCAATTAGACAGGAACACAGAGGCATTAGCAAACAAAAGGGCCTCGGGTTATCGCAGCCAATCTGGTAACGTGATACTGGCCTGGCTAATCATTCCGAAGTTATACACTGGAGATGCCTCCCAGAATTACCTTGTGATGCAGCCAACACCGCTACGTTGAATACATTTTTGGTAATATAAAAAAATAAAACGTTGCTGTAATTTGGAACAACTAAGTGTTTTTAATATTACGTGTTAGCTTGTAATGCAGCCAACAATACTACAGTGGCTATATTATTGGAATAAAAAAAACAAATCTTTCAGTATTATGGAAAAAAGCCTAATTAAAACTATATTTTAGATTAATTTGCTTATGATGCAGCAAACATGACTACGTTAATTACATTTTTGCAATTTATTCAGTTAATTCGTATATTTTCGAGAGAGAGGAAAAAAACAAAAGTCAATTACATTTACAGTAATATTTTAAATCCTTTTTCCCAGCTGAAGCTATTTTTGGTGCTTGTTGGAATTTCAGAGTAATTTAATTATTTGTCACAAATCATACACCCTATGTATGCGCAAATTCAGAGGTCCGCAGCTTATTGTGGGATCTGATATGTCTCTGTAATCTGCGTACAGTACATATGTAATGGGCCCAGCTGGTGTGATTTTTTTTCTTGGCTGTCCCTTATATAATACGGGGAATGTTGCCGTCGTTTCACGGTTGCCACACTGGACTTGAAATCCAGAGGTCTCCAGTTCGATTTGATCTCCTGGTGTGGCATTTGAAACGATGGTGCAAGATTCTTAAATCTCCCTTCCTCTGGCCGCCCAGCAGTACAAATGAGTACGCCAATAAGTAGATCGGCAAGGTCAAGTGCGGTGAGACGTAAGTGTGGGCACGCTCGCGTACGTTGAAGGTAGTGAAGTGGGACAGGGCAGGATACGTCTCTCGACAAGGATAATTGCCGATGGTCGAGACTGATGCTGGAGATCAGTCAGAGGAGAAAAAAAGATTTCCAAGAGGATGTCCACCATGAAAATGGAGTGATGATATCAGCTCTCATGCAAGGAGCGAGACTGATTGTTTCATAGCGACACCGTGAGATGGTGAAGGCTTAGGAAGGCCTTCGTTCAGCAGTTCCCCCGCACCTCCGATTAGCACGAATGGCTACGTACGGTGCGAAATAAGTTCAACATACATGGCTGATGATAGTATCTAAATGCAAACGTAACTCACGTTGCCCTACTCAAAAGTGGGATGTGCATCGCAGGGAGCAAGGAGTATATTTAAAAGTTTTTTTTTTTTAAGATGGGAACAGTCTTAGGCAGATGATAATAGGGTCTTCAGCCTGGACCTGAGCGAGGGCTGGGAGTTGAGAGCACGAATGTCTGTCGACTCCCGACCAAGTGCAGGGAGTTCCAGATCACAGGTGGTGGG